AAAAAGAAAATTACAGGCCAATATCCTTGATTAACATAGATGCAAAAATCCTCAACAAAATACTAGCAATCAGAATACAGCAACACATCAAAAAAATTACACACCATGACCAAGCAGGATTCACCCCAGGGATGCAAGGATGGTTCAACATACAGAAGACAATAAATGTTATATACTACATCCACAAAACCAAGGACAAAACCGTATGATTATCTCAATAGATACAGAAAAAGCATTCAACAAAATTCAACATCCCTTCATGGCAAAGACTCTCAGCAAATTAGGTATACAAGGAAATTATCTCAACACAATAAAAGCCATATATGACAAACAAATTGCCAATATCATCCTTAAGAACAGGAACAAGACAAGGATGCCCACTCTTACCACTTATGTTTAACATAGTATTGGAAGTATGAGCCAGAGCAATCAGGCAAGAGAAAGAAATAAAGGGCATCCAGATTGGAAAGGACAAAAACTGTCCCTGTTTGCAGATGACATGATCCTATACATAGAAAAACCTAAAGACTCTACCAAAAAACTCTTAGAGTTGATTAACAATTTTAGTAATGTTGCAGGATACAAAATCAGTACCCCAATAACAAACTTGATTTCTTTTTCCCTCCTTTGAACTTTTGTTCATGTAATAGCAGATTCAGAAAAAGAAATCAAGAAAGTAAACCCATTTACAACAGTCACTAAAAAAATAAAGAGGTGAAAGAGCTCTACAACAAAAACTAAAAAACACTACTGAAAGAAATTAAAAAGGACACAAAAAGTTGGAAAGACATACTATGCTTTTGGATTGGAAGAATTAACATCATGAAAATGTCCATACTACTCAAAGCAGTCTACAGATTCAATGCAATCCCCATCAAAATACCAATGACATTCTTCACAGAAATAGAAAAAACAATCCTAACATTCATATGGAACAACAAAAGACCCCAAATAGCTAAAGAGATCCTTAGCCAAAAAAAAAAAAAATGAAGCCAGAGGCATAACACTACCTGACTTCAAATTATATTACAAAGCTATTGTCACCAAAACAGCATGGTACTGGCATAAAAACAGACACTTGGACCAATGGAACAGAATAGAAAACCTAGAATCAACCCATATACTTAACAGCCAACTGATCTTTTACAAAGGCAACAAGAACATACATTGGGGAAAAGACTGTCTCTTCAATAAAAGATGCTGGAAAAACTGGACATCCATATTCAGTAGAACAAAATTGGACCTGTACCTCTCACCATATACCAAAGTCAACTCAAAATGGATTAAAGACTTAAATTTAAGACCCCAAACCATAAAATTATTAAAAGAAAACATAGGGGAAACACTTCAGGAAGTAGGACTGGACAAAAACTTTATGAATAAGACCCCAAAAGCAAGGGCTGACCTGTGGTTCACTTGGGAGAGTGTGGTGCTGATAACACTAAGGCCACAGGTTCGGATCCCTATATAGGGATGACCAGTTAGCTCACTTGGGAGAGCATGGCGCTGACAACACCAAGTCGAGGGTTAAGATCCCCTTACTGGTCATCTTTAAAAAAAAAAAAAAAAAAAGACCCCAAAAGCACAAGTAGCAAAAGAAAAAATAAGCAAACAGGATTATATTAAACTAAAAAACTTCTGCACAGCAAAGGAAACAATCAACAGAGCAGAAAGAAAACTATGGAGTGGTAGAAAATATTTTCAAACTATACATCTGACGAGGGATTAATACCCAGAATATATAAGGAACTCAAACAACTTCATAATAAAAAACAACAAATAATCCAATTAAAAAATGGGCAAAGGAGATGAACAGACATTTTTCAAAGTAGACATACAGATGGCCAACAGGTACATGAAAAAATGTGCAACATCACTAATCATCATGGAAATGCAAATCAAAAACCACATTGAGATATCATCTCACCCCAGTTAGATTGCCATTATTCAAAAGACTGAGAATAACAAATGCTGGCAAGGACAAGGGAAAAGAAAAACACTTCTAGACTGTTGTGGGACTGTAAATTGGTACAGCCATTACGGAAAACAGTATGGAGGTTTCTCAAACAACTACAGATAGAGCTACCATGGGATCCAGCAATCTCAGTACTGGGTATATAACCAAAGGAATGGAAATCATCATGTTGAAGGGATACCTGCACTCCCATGTTCATTGCAGCTCTCTTTTACAATAGGCAAAATATGGAACCAACTTAAATGTCCATTGACAGACGATGGGATAAGGAAAATGTGGTATATATGCACAATGGAATACTACTCAGTCATAAGAAAGAATGAAATTCTGCCATTCGCAGCAACATGGATGAGCCTGGAGAAAATTATGTTTAGTGAAATAAACCAGACACAAAAAGAGAAATACCTCATGTCCTTATTCATAACTGAGTGCTAAGAAAGAAGGAAAGAAAGAAAGAAAAGGAAAGACAGAAACAGAGAAAAAGAGAGAGCAAGGAACGAAGGAAGGAAGGGACCACAATAATACGTTGAACTTTCAGAAAGAGAGAACAAACCTAAGGATACTAGAGATGGGGGAGGGGAGGGGAGTTGGAGAGTGATTGGTTGGGTAAGGGGAATAAAGAATAATTATAATTTGTAACAATGAATTTGCTAATTAAAAAAGAAAATAAATAAAATCTAGTTGGAGATAAGAGAAGAGGATCATTGTAGTAACAGCTGTCACTGACTAGTGACTACTTTCTATGGGCCAGGCACCAAGCTATATGCTTTACGTATGAGGTCTCACTTCATCCTCACAGCAACCCTGCGACGTGAGGGTAGGCAAGATTATCCCCATTTTACAGAGAAGAAAATGAAGGTTCAGGGAGCTTATTACTGTCACAAAGCTAGTAAGAGGTGGATCAGAATTCACACCCACATCTTTGTGATATCAAGGCTTGCTGTGCATTTAATCACGCTGTTTTCATGATTCTGCTATTACATGAACAAAAGTTCAAAGAAGGGAAAAAATAATGTTAAATCAATGGGATTCTGAAGGGGAAAAAACTAAGGAATATAAATATATGCTGAAATAAAAATGTATTATTAAGATAAATATAAGATAAAACTAAGAAATATAAGATAAATGGGCCGGCCCGTGGCTCACTCGGGAGAGTGTGGTGCTGATAATACCAAGGCCACGGGTTCGGATCCCATATAGGGATGGCCGGTTTGCTCACTGGGTGAGCGTGGTGCTGACAACACCAAGTCAAGGGTTAAGATCCCCTTACCGGTCATCTTTAAAAAAAAAAAAAAAAAAAGAAATATAAGATAAATTATAATAGTAAGATAACTTCCCATAGCAGCATTCCACTCCAAAAAAAATCTGGATCAATACCACAAATAAAATATTTCTGGGCCGGCCCGGTGGCGCACTGCTACAGTGCGCCGCTTGGCGCTCCCGCCGAGGGTTCGGATCCCACATACAGACCGGCCGCTCACTGGCTGAGCGAGGTGCGAGCGCAACACCGAGGGTTGCGATCCCGTTGCCGGTCCCGGTCCGGTACGGGTGCGACACTGAGGGTTGCGATCCGTTGCCGGTCACGAAAAAAAAAAAAGACAAAAAAAAAAAAGGAAAAAAAAATATATATATATTTCTTAAAGAGTAAAAATCTACCAGTTAACTTCAAAGAAAATAGCAGCAATCATATTAAATATAACTAGAACTAACACTTATAGAATGTGCCAAGCATTCTTCCAAATATTTTACAAGAATAACTTCTTGAATCATCGCAAAAACGTCAGGAAGCTGGTACTAACATTCTCATTTCACATATTGGGAAAGTGAGGCACAAAGATGTAAAATAATTTGCCAAAGGTCTCACTAAGGAAGGGGCAGAACCAGATTTCACCCTAGACCTTGTGGCCTCTAGAGTCCATGCTCTGAATCAGTATGCTATACATATTTAAGCAAGTAAAAGTCCTGTGAGTACAACATTTTAATATCTGGCATGCAAGGTTGGGAGTCAGGAAATCTGTTTTACAGCCTGCTGTGGCAGAGAGTAAATGCAGGCTTTGGGGCCTACTCTCGTTGGCCTGGACTCAAATCCAGGCTCTGCAACTTACTAGTTCTGTGACCTTGAGCCAGTGACCACACTTCTTTCAGCCCCAGGTATGATCATATTTACTTTAAAGAGCTTTCAACACAGGCAGACATTATTCTTTTCTGTTCTTACCAAGGAGCATTTGTGGTTAAGTCAACACACACAAAACACTCCTACAGAATATCATCAAACCAGTTATTTTATTTTATTTTTTGGCAGCTGGCCAGTATAGGGATTGACTGGACCTTGGTGTTATCAAGACCATACTCTAACCACCTAAGATAACCGACCAGCCAAGCCAGTTGATTTTAGAACAGCCAATTATGTGAATTAAAATGGACATTTAAGAAAACTGGTTTTTATGCAGCCAAAGTTTGTACCACTAACAAGTCACAAAAGAAAATAAAATTGGTTAGAGCGTGGTGTTGATAACACCAAGGTCAGGGTTCGGATCACCTTAATGGCCAGCTGCAAAAGAAAATATGTATATTATAATAATATCAATCATTTTATAAAATTTCTACAGCATGGGCCGGCCCATGGCTCACTCGGTAGAGTGCGGTGCTGATAACACCAAGGCCGCGGGTTCGGATCCTATATAGGGATGGCCGGTTCGCTCACTGGCTGAGTGTGGTGCTGACAACACCAAGCCAAGGG